ATATATCAGGGGCGTTGCTAGGGTGAAATGGATGCGTACGCACACAGGCGGGGGGTCTGTGACCGTCTGGGAAATTCGAAAATTTTGAAAATGTAGATCGCAGGAGATGGTATTTGAGGCACTTTCGAGTAAATGTGCAGCCTTCATTCTGACTACGACAATTATCTTTTCAGTAGAACTACTCTCTTCATGAGACCATGACTAAAGATAAGACTAAAGATCACTATAACTAATCATGTAATTTTCGTTTTATTATCAAGACATGTTGAACTAACGCACATTCTTAAACTCTCTCTTTCTTTCTTTTCCTCTCTGTGTGCGTGCGTGCGAGCGAGCGTATGCGCGTGCGGGTGCGTGTGGGCGCGTGTGTGTGCTCAAACACACGTACACATCACTCACTGCACATCACATCACATCACGGCATTGTTTAAGTCCTATATATATATATATATATATATATTATGATATAATGATATGATAAGTTCAGGAGTGAATAATAATAAACTGTTAAATAATAATCTATTATTATTCACTCCTGATAAGTTGTAGCGGGCTTCTTTTCATCTTCTCTTTGCTCGTTGGTTCCAGCAATGATCAATTAAGTGCGTCGCCGGAGTAGAACACAGTTCAACTGCGTTGTTTTGTACCAGCCTTCGGCGCCGTGCGGGCCCATTTCGCAGTGCATTTCGCAGCGCATCGCGTGGAGATTACGCAGTGCATTTTCACGCATGTAAAAGTACACGAACATCGAAAAATGAAATTATACCGTAAAAAATTATCACGAGGTGGCAGCACTCTCCAGTCAATATGTAATGTGTAAACAACTGAACATAGAAATATGGTAGCGTCCACAAAAAGACAAAGTTGTGTGTTTAGTAGTATTGAAGTGCAATTTGTGTACTTGTGAGAGATAGTCTTTTAATAAAATACCATTACAGTTACAGCACAATGTTTATTAGGTTATTAAAAATGATTCGCGCAAAGCACATGACAATTTCACTAGGAAAACTCAATTCGTCTGATTATGCAAGGGTGATGTCATGTAGATTGTGCTATAATTATAAACATAGACCTTTGCCAATTGTGTACTCAGCACTTCGTTGCTTTGGTTCGCTAGTAGGTAGCCGTCATTCGACTCCTGTACCAACTGCGTGTACTCAACAGAAACCTTCACGCCCACTGTCTCAGCACCAACGAAGTCAACTTCGCCTTGAGATTAAGGCATTGGGAAAGTTACTGCTTCGCTCTTCTCTTGGAAGCCACCATATTCTATCCCGTAGTTTCTCGACTTCAAATCAAAATCACCAGAAGAATGACAAGGATGATAAGCAGAATGGAGACAAAGACAAAGGTCAAGTCTTGTTGAAACTGGGCATGTGGATGTTTGTAATGTACATCACAATGAGCGTCGTCTCTCTGCTAATGCCACACACTGACAACCCCGATGTTATGCGCTACATATCTTGGAATGAGTTCCTCTATCACATGCTTGCCAAGGGCGAAGTGGAACAGGTTGTGGTGCGGCCAGAGCTCGATCTAGTCATTATCGTGCTGCACGATGGCGCTGTAGTCAAAGGGCGCAGGATGGAACACAAAACTTTTCACATGAATGTTGTTGACACTGAGAGGTTTGTATGTAATTTAAGATTTCCACAAAGTAAATTCACAATACGGTGTTTAGAATGAAAAAGAATACCTAGATAAATAAATGTGTGAGCACTAATCAATAAATCATATAAAGTACTTGACATATAAGTTGCCCTGAAACCCAGCAAGTGCATGATATTCAAATTTGTTTTAAAAATAATCAGTTGACATTTTTTAGAAATTCAATATTTTGCATAACTAACAGTATGTGAATATAAACCAATTATTTGTTGTCTGACCTACTCGTTTTCACTCCTAGTGATTTTATTCATCATCATTTGTTAAAATTAATTAGAGGATTTAAAAAATATTTTATGATGCAACTCAGTTATTTTTCATGCCTTGAAGGTTTGAGGAGAAACTGCGCAGAGCTGAAGCTACGCTGGGCATCTCCACTGGACAAGGTGTGCCGATCCGCTATGACAGGAACCAGGAAGGCCAGTGGTTGCTGCTAATGGCAATGGTTGGTCTAGCCATCATGATTGTAATGATGTTTAGAACAGGGCAAATAAAGGCACCTAAAGGTATGACATAAAGCTTGGTTAAATTTTTTTACAAGAGTGAAATAATTGACTGAGTTATGGAATTTCTAAGAAATCATTGATAAGGACTTCTTTTTTTTAAGCATCTTTTTAAGTGCTGCTGTACACAAAGAGGTTATTACATTACATTAGACCTTGGTGGTTTATTCATTGCTGTGCAGGCCATTTAGAGTAATATGGTTGGTGCACTATTCTATATGTAAAACAGTTGCCCAGCATAAATACTAAAACTATACTGTAATAACTTATGCAATAATGATTGATATTCTTACTAAAACTGTGAACCTTTTAGACCAATTAAAGGTTGCATACACTGTTCATAACTTGCAGGCATGGACTGGTTCTCACAGCTGGGCAAAGCTAAGTTCACGATGATTGATCCACTAATGGGAGGTGGGAAGGGAGTCAAGTTCAAGGACATAGCAGGCATGAAAGAAGCCAAGCAGGAAGTGCTTGAATTTGTCGACTATCTGAAGAGACCGCAGGTACAACTGATCCCCCACCATGCCAGTTTTCTACCAGCTAGAACTACATGATCAACAGTCATTACTGCTTTTCTAATTTGTCCTTGTCCCTTTTGTAATGTAGTGCATGATTTCACCATGACAGCAGCCACACGTGCAGTGGTTGCCCCTTTACTTGCTGACGTGCCCCTGAAAATTGGATGATATGCACAGCAATAAGCTGTCGTGGCTGCATTACCTGGTTTGTTTCCGTACTTACCCAAAAAATAAAGTTTTTTTAATTGTCCTTCATTAAAGGAAACTTTTGCCTAGTACACGACTAATGTGTTGTGGCCCCTAAAATGTCTGGCTCAAATGAATGCGACACTTGCCTAGCGATAAAAACATCCTAGCTGGACCCTGGGAAACGAGTGGCATACATATGGGACTGTACGGCGAGAATAATGGTGTAAAACGTTGCTAACTGTCGTCGGCAGATATTTAAGGAGCTCGGTGCGAAGCCACCTCATGGAGCGCTGCTCCTCGGACCTCCCGGATGCGGCAAGACTCTCCTTGCCAAGGCAGTTGCCACCGAGGGAAACACTCCCTTCCTTGCCATGGCTGGGTCGGAATTTGTGGAGATGATTGGTGGTTTAGGTGCAGCGAGGGTCAGGGATCTTTTCAAGGTGTTTGTTACACATGTACACACATTCTAAATTGTTTGAGTGGGATGAGGTAATTTAAGGATAACACTTATTATTTGTTAAATGACTGTATATAATAACTTGCATGCATCAGCAAATGGCTTAATTATCATTGACATAAAAAAACATGTTCGAGACGTGTGATATTCTGTGAACAAATCTTTCTGTTGTTATGTTTCGATTTAATTGCCAGTGATTCAGTGCCTAAGAAGAGCTCCTTTTCATGAACGCCATATTTGACCATGCGAACATTTTTGTTGTGAGATTCTATGTTAAGGACCAGAGCGAATAGCTGTCATGACCATTTCAGGAAGCTCGCAAGAGGGCGCCCTGCATTGTTTACATTGACGAGATCGATGCAATTGGTCGGAAGAGGTCAACGGGCGGAGAAGGTATGAGTGGAGAGGAGGAACAGACATTGAACCAACTCCTGGTGGAGATGGATGGTAAGCTTTTCTGTGGACAAAAGCAATATGATTGAAATATTTTGGCTTTCATTATGCATTTTAGTTTAATTATGCATTGTGTATGCTACATAATTTAATATCACCACACAGGTACACATAATATCTTTTGTAATTTTATTTCAAACACGTATGCTTGCACACACAAACATGCGTGCACACACACAATGCTGAGGTGGGAGGTTTTTTGGCAGTTGACAGATTTTTGACTAAATGCTCCGTTAAATGTAACCAGGCATGGCAACTAAGGAAGGTGTTGTGGTGTTGGCATCCACCAACCGGTCAGAAGTACTGGACAATGCGCTTATGCGGCCTGGTCGATTTGACCGTCATATCCTCATCGATCTACCAACCCTAGAGGAGCGACGTGAGATGTTTGAACTTCACCTGAAAGGCATAACCTTGAAGGACCTACCTGCCAAGTACTCTCCACGTCTATCTCAGGTATTCTCTCTCTCTCTACCTACCTGCTAAATATCAGCCACGTCAGCCACGGTTTTAGCTGACTCCTGGGACATTGTTACATTTCTGGTTTTAGCTGACTTTTGTAACATTATTGGTACATTGTTACATTTTGGGTTTTAACTGACTGCCGGGACATTATTGTTACATTTCCGGTTTTAGCTGACTCCCGGGTTCTCAGGCGCAGACATTGCTAATATCTGCAATGAAGCAGCCATCCATGCGGTACGCCACGGGGAGAAATGGGTGTCTGAAACCGACTTTGAGTACGCGGTGGAGAAGGTGAGTATCGCCATAGACCGTGTTCCTCACATGGATTCATGCAACAGTGTGTCAATGCTCCCTGTGAGCTGTGAGCTATGTCGTAAATGACAGGTGCAGACTATGGCGTGTTCGCTAATCAGCTTCTGCTATGTTCACACTGATGCTGTATAGTGTCGTCTATCAATAGATGAAGTCTGTTATATTACCACAGGCCATAATGAATGGGCTAAGATTAGGTTAGTATTGGGCTCAGGCTTATGCTTAGGGTCAGGGTTAATGTGATGGTGGTGATGGTGATAATGATGATGATGATGATGATGATGATGACGGTGGTAGTGATGAAGATGATGATGGTCATGATCATGATGTATGTATTAGGGTCCTGAAGTAGATTTGAATTTTTCTTGACAGCCTTTTAGTTCATATGTCATTTGTATCTAGCCAAGTTAAATATTTTTTCAGCGAGCAACATAGCACAGAGTTTTTTCACTCTGTTGAGTGAATCCTGAGAAAGTTAAAAAGTTATTTGTGAATTTTCCATTTCGTTCTGTAAGTGATCTCTCACTTGTGCAGGTGGTTGCTGGCACAGTGAAGAAGAGCACAATACTGAGTGAAGCAGAGAAGGAGATCATCGCGTACCACGAGTCTGGCCACGCTCTGGTTGGATGGATGCTGGAGCACACAGATGCCCTTCTGAAGGTCACACTATGTTCCAATGCAAATAAAATTATCACCGCACATTTCAGTGTATTTAAACTTGTGTGATAATATATTTAAGCATATCGTCAACCGCTGGTCAAAAACTATATTCCATGAATATTTGTAAATGTTCCTTCTAATGAAATATTTTATTTGCTTACCCGGTGGCAGAGGTGCTGCTTACCTATGCATTTCTCCACTATAGATACCCCTCCCCCCCCACACACACACACAAAATATCAATGTTATCACTGCTTCTTATTTTTACATTCAGACATAATATTTTTGGCCTCAAGGTGTTGATAACTCAACTCACGCAGTGTGCTTTTGGCTCTGCGCAATAATTAATATTTTCGCCTCTAGGTGTCAATAGTTCCACGCACGCGCGGTGCTCTGGGCTTTGCACAGTACATGCCACGTGATCAGAAGCTGTACACGAAGGAGGAGCTGTTCCAGCGCATGTGCATGGCACTCGGAGGTCGGGTGGCTGAGAGCGTTGTCTTCAACCGCATCACTACAGGTACCAACGCCCGAATGTCGTCATTCTCTTAGATGCAACAAATTGCCGAGATAATCATGTCTGACCGTATCGAGTAATGCATGCAAGAGTACATTGAACATCCGAGCTTTAACTTCAGTGCTAAAAATTCACGATGGCATAGAAGGTATATAGCATGGGCCATAGTTTCCATCCTTACTTGCCATGGTGCCTTAAAAATTGGCTGGTATCTGCGCATTAAACTACCGTGGCTGCCATATCTGATGTGACTCGGTTCTTTTTCCATGAATTCAATGTTGTGCATGTATTCTTCCCTGTTCCTCATATACAGCATTGATAAAAATCAAGTTACCTTGGTGCCCCTCTTTTAAAGGAAATGGCTACCCCAATGAAACACTTGACCATAACATTTTTTAATTTGACCCATGAGGTATGGCACATGCACACACAGTTAGTGTTGGAGTGAAAGGTGGCAAACATCCAGGTGCTCCAATTTTTTCAAATTTTGCAATTAACACAAAGTTCTATCATTGCCCGCATCTATTCATCAAAGCTTCCCAGTATGAAAAAAATTTAAGCAAATGATGTGCAGATGTTCAGTGTGTATCACTTAACAGGTCTGAGTCGTTTGCTTTTGATATGTTAATGAATGATAGTCAGAAATGAAGCTAGAGAGGTAAGACAAACGTAATAAGAATGTAAACAGTGTTTTACTGATGTGTACCAATGTTGATAATGCTTGTAGCATGTGAGTAATAATTTATTATCAGTTATCAATTGAGAATGTCAGTTTTTAAACATTGCTTGGGGATGACAAGATTTTGCCCCACATCCAAACTTATGTACAGTTATCTGAAATAGAGTTACCATTGATATTAACAGATAATGCAAGAAATTTAAACAGTAGTTCTGATTATACTAACAATACGTGACACTCTCTCTCTAGCTTGCGATGTATTGGTCCTTATGCTCCCTCAACAGACGTCCAGCTTCCACGACATCTTATTATGTAACTTATATTTTCTGTTGTATTTATATATGAACAGGAGGCTTGAATCTGTGCTATCGGGTGTGGTTCTACTGGGTTAGCTTGTAGGGGCTCCTCCACATATACATGCCATAACAACCCGATGTGTCTGTGTGTGTGTGTGTGCGTGCGTGCGTGCGTGCGTGCGTGCGTGCGTGCGTGCGTGCGTGCGTACGTGCGTGCGCGCGCCTGTGTGCGTGTGCGTGTGCGTGTGCATGTGTGTGTGTGTTTGTGTGCGCTTGTGCCTGTGTGTGTGCGCGCGTGCATGCATCTGTGTGTCTGTGCGTACCCGCGTGCGTGTACAACCAGATTCCCGTTGTCAATTAAAGTTTGTTGCGTTAATCGAAGCATTCATTTTTCAGGTGCGAGCGACGACCTCGGCAAGGTGACAAAGATTGCGTATGCACAGATCCAGCAGTTTGGCATGAGCGAGCGCGTCGGACTGCTCTCGTTCCCGGCCGAGGACACTAACTCTGCCGTCGGCAAGAAGCCGTTTAGCAAGCAGCTGTCAAACATCATCGACCATGAAGCCCACGCGATCGTCGCACGCGCATTCCTACACACCGAAGCCATCATCCGAGCAAACAGGTAGAAACTGTGATACTTAATTTCCTATGAGTGGCCACGAATGTCAAGGTGAATGTTTAGGGAGAGGGTATACATCTTACTACGTATATTGCTACTATGTGTAAGTATGCGATATTTATAACAAAACAATTAAGCTTTGTAATGAAACTGTCTGGAAGTCTGATATTGGTATGCAACTCTATCTTCTTCCACAGGCACAAGCTGCAGTTGATTGCAGACTCGCTAATGAAACGTGAGGTAATTAATTATGATGACATGGTCGACCTGATCGGACCGCCACCTTTTGGCCACAAGAGAAAAATTATGGATCCATTGACGATGGCACCATCAGAGGAACCAGTCACGATGGGGCCATTGCCAAATAAGCCAGCTGACGACAACAATGGGAAAATCTGATGAGGTTAATGCTACAAAATGATGAGATCGAGGAAGACTGGTGTGTGTGCTCAGTCTTCTCGTTTTAGAATTTCAATTTCCATGTGGAATAATAAAAGAGTTGTAGACAACGAGTTATAGACAACACGTGTAATTGTGATGGTCTGCAATGTATAACAATTTCTTGCTTGCTGCTATAGAAGAGTAATAGATTTTCTGCATCCAAATGTGTGTATTATATGAATACAAATTGTAAATATTAATAAACTGTTACATATGTAGTGTATTTTTATCATCATGGTAGTATTCAAGTCGCAGTGTGCCTTGCTATGCAACAGCGTGTTTTTCTATGTACCAAATCTTCATTTTGGAGAATATGTATGAATGGCTCTGTGCAGAGACTTGGCCACATCACTGCAAAGCATACTATTGTGATCTAATTTCAAAATGCAAATCTATATTACTCATTAAATTTTGTTAGACAATATGAAGAATGGTTCTGCATTTTATCTAATGTTGTTGCTAGCATATTCACTACACTATTATCACGTCACATCCGTTTTATCAGGAGTAGATATATGAGATCACTTAAACCTGCTTCCAATATCATTGAGAATACTTGTCAGATAAACTCAAGTGACATTTAGCGAATTATGTTAGAAAAATTGTTTATAAGTAACGCGCAATTTATTACAGACCATTCACAATATTTTGTCATGTGTAAAATGGCAATAGGTTGTGTGAGGTTGCCAATATGGTTTTTATTCAACAATCTTACAACCGTGCCTCTATTCATGAACGTTGTTTATTAGTTTATATATCTCATATCTCGATGGAACTATATGAGCTGTGAAGAAGTCTCCCCACACTACGCACTATCGACTGGGCTGACGTGCGACTCTGCTGCATCCCCAGTTCAATCTATTTTGGGATGAATCTATTTCTGTTTGCAACCAAAATAAGCAAAAAGTCTATTTGCGTACCAACCAGACGAAAAACGTCCAACTAAAAGCTAACGTAAACATGATATTTATAAAAACTACTGCATATGGGGTTTACCAGTTTGTAGCCAATTTGTTAATGTTATTAAATTATTAATGTTGTTTGTAAAATAATTTCCCCAAATGAAAATGTGATATAAACTGTTCTTAACTACACTAAATTTATTTACACGACGTATTGTACTCTAATGCGCAATTATTTTGCAGCTTGCCAAGTTGTTGCCAACAATGTTCTCGTTATTTTAGTGTAAATCGATGGCCATTTGTGTGTATATTGATTTTCGTTGCTTCCGAGAAGCTGAGAGAAGCAGCTTTCCTAGAATAGTTTTGACCTTTGCTCACGCGGTGTCGCTGATGTATCGGTAATCGACTGACAAATCAGCGGCCGAGATCGTTGTTTATCCGAAACGTCACCGCATCAACACAGTGACGTCACACCACGTGACCACTATTTCGTTGAATCACGAACTAAAAATAGCAGCTGACATCATCTGAAAGGCTTTTATATACCAGGAGACAGAGGGATATCCCAGCAGAACGGGGTGAATCATCGAGACGACTGAATCACCTGCAAAGCGCGAAAATCCGGAAGTTTCACGAATCATATCACCGCAAGGTAGTGTGCCAACGACGGTTCTTGACCGAGGCATGTTCACACAGGGCGCAGGAAACAGTGACACTGGGTATAACACGGGCGAACTCACCTCACGCTACGTAGCTGGTATACTGTGTTCGATGACGAACGACAACGGAGACGACTCACTGGGACACGTTCCTACAACGGTTAGTATTCAAATGTTTTCTTACAGACGAAGTTGTTGATGTTGTTGGCAGCACGTGTTATTATTGCAGAATTAGAAGTTATTCAGAGATCGCTGGTTACTGGCGCTACGAGGTTAGTCCACCTGTCATCGTAAATGTAACCAGAATGCTGTGACATCACGGCGTGTGATTAAAATAGACTCTGTCCTACTATACAGCCGATCGAGCGAATATGATTAATGGAGCTGTCTGTTGTGTCTGGCACCGGGACAACTACGCCACCGGCTGCAGGAGCAATTCCTCCTACCAAAACACATTGTTTACAAATATAATAACTAATACTGTGTATTATTGTGTCCATGTTGTACCACGTATTACTTTGTGACAGTAGTATTTTAAAATGCTTTTTATAACTATGTGTATACACTGTGTCTGCTGGGCGTTGCTATGGGCGTAGTTAATCCTACAGCCGATGGAGTAGAAAAATCGTCTGTGTCGAGTGCACTCTATAAATATTGTACAGAGATATGCGGGTAAAGTATCACTGCCAGGATTTCCTGCATGCGCTCATCCTGTCTACAAGAGGTCGTACCTGTTGTGATTGACAAAACATGCTTCCCACGTCTGAGGTGGCAAGCAGACAGTTGTCATAAAGGCTGCTCAGTGTCAAAACATTTCGTGCAGCCCATGAGTGATGGGTTTCTTGATTACACTAAGTATATGCACAGTAAAATATGGACTTCCCAAGGTCCAGTCAACTATATACTTGTATAAAACTATCCGTAAACGAAATCGAATTTTAGACATGTTGTTCCCCGTGCAGTAAACATATATAAATGCACAAATCATTCATTTCATTGAATTATTTCTTGTCTTTATTTTAATATTATTAATCACAAATTTAAATTTATATTAAAAACCATGGAATGATGCTAGCTGTTGCCATTATTGAAATGTAATATCTCAAACAAACAAAACCTGCACTGTAAGCCTTAAACTGAGGAAATTTCTAGGAGGCACAATTTCATGGCCTAATTGTGTAATATCACGAGGGCATAGATTTTATAACTTTAATAATCTACATTCATTATTCATATTTTTATGGCTCTCCGTGCACCACCCCCGACGCTGTGACGGCCTTCCATGTTCGTATTTAGGATAAGTTTAAATACGAAGGGAAATGGTAAATGTCACTGGATTAAGGTACAGTGGGTTGTTTCCATGAACTAGATCTTCAGTAATCTGTCAATCCACCTATACGGGATATCATGTAAATATGAATTGCGTCATAGGACATAGAACGGGTATGCAGGAAACAATCTGTTTCCTTCACACATCCTGTTGAATATACTTGGAGACTACACATTCCACAAGTCCGCCAGTTGTACTTTAAACACACGGTGACTAAACACATAATAAGCCTTGCTTCATCAAATTGGCTTTGATGGACCCTGCTAGATTTACACAAAACGTTCGTCTACCTAGAGGCGTTGATAGCTGGCATGTAGACATGGCCCATCCCGTCAATGCAGATCTCAGTCAATCTTCGGCATACCAACGACATCTACCCTGGTTTCCTAACTACAACATGTATCCGACGTATCCAGTTTCTGATCGCTTTTATGCTCGAACTGCGGTAGGTTGCTTGATCTACAGATGGAAGCATTTTGCATAGCATTCTTTATCGTCTGGCTGTGATGCTGACAGTAATGCGAATTCCATCCCGAGGTCGCCCGGTGTGTGTATTAGCATCGGTGCAGTGCATACGCAACACTGATTACATGTGTAGCCGACATCTAAATATTCGTGTTTTCCCCCCACAGTATGGGTACGGATCGGGCATCACCACAGCGACGACCCCGACCTTGACCCCGACGACGCAGAGTTTCGTCGAGCTGATGACCTTACCGATGGTCAGTCAGAATCGGGTTGTGAATGAGCATGGCGGCTTCACGCCGGTGGTCAGCGATGCCAACGGCTACCGGTCAAACAACGGCCGCCAGTACTGGCCACACTCATCAGACCCGATCACGGCGAGGGGACTGGTGCCGATGAGGGAAGGCGCGAGTGCGGCGGGCACGAACACACGCCGTGGAGGCCGCAGGGTCAAGTACGAAGCTGTAAGTATCAAGTCATCCGGAGGCAATTCGAAATTGCTGTGAATATGAATGTATATATATATATATATATATATAAATATAATTAGAAATAACTGTTATAAAGATTAGAAAATAGCAACGTATTTTATATGAGATCTTGGTCTAGACTCTCAAGGTTTTAATTTGTCAAGGTGTAGGCATATAAATGTGTGTACTGTCAGCATGCGATTCTACATATATTGAAGTCGGTTGGAATACGATGCTCATATTAGAAACCTGGCTTTATAATATCCAACAGACTGATGTGCAGTACTTATTTTTGTAGTTGAATCCAGAAGAAGAAGCTAAGCGCCGAGTCAGAAGAGAGCGAAACAAACTCGCAGCAGCCAAATGTAGGAAGCGACGCCTGGACCACACCAATTGTTTACTAATGGTACGTTTCAATCCTAATTTAATAATAACTAGAGCACTCGGAGAGCGCAGACCTCTGCAGCTCAATTCTCTCACTGTGAAAAATTTTATTAATTAATTAATTAATTAAATAATTAGTTGGATCTGGATCACCACCAAAATGTAATCAATTCTAAGTTACCCCATTTCTGACATATCCTGAAAATTTAATTAATTAATTAATTAACTAATTAATTAATTAATTGGATTCGGATCACCACCAAAATCTAATCAATTGTAAGTTACCCCATTTCTGACCTATCCTGAAAATTTTATGACAATCCGTCAATAACATTTTCAGTTAGGCTGTACACAAACAAACCCACAAACCCATAAACACACGGCGAACAAACACGCCGGTGAAAACATAACCTCCTGCCAACCCCTTGGCGGCGGTAATTATATGTCGCAGCATTACGATGAGTGTGGCATGAGGTTGAACACGGCGTGCTAATATGCGAACACGCATGGGCTTTTATGCAATCTCTTCGTGCCAGTTTAAAGTAACATATGGGTTTAGGGTAATACCATATCAATACCAAGTCGTTTTTCTATGTTTTGGTGCTAATATTTGTTGGCAACCCATGATAGTTATTACCCTGGATATGAGCCACTGCTCACTTGCACTTGTTTGAACAGTTCCTAAACTGTCTACGGTTCTGTCATGTGATATGTACACACACATCCGTATCTCAGGGCACCGGTGTAGGAATGCGTGCATGTTCATATGTGCGTTTGGTCACATGATTAATGTACCACTGCGAAAATATACAGTGAATGCCACCGCATATAGCAGGTCAAAATATTTTAAATCCTGTTTGCCTGTGTTTGTAATTGACGCATTAAAAAAGGGACAGTGTTGGGACATTTTACAATCATCGTTAGCACCGAATAGGAAACTATGCAACTGTCTCGCATTTTTATGTAGCCACAATGGAATCGGCGCACGCACGTGTTTTTTGCTCAATTTTTGTAAACCTCAATTTGTTTTTTTACATCGTTTTAGCGAGTTCGTTGTCCGTCTATCTATCCGTCTGTCTAGCCATTCATATTCACTAACGTATTCCGATGCGTTTTCGCTGCAGGAAACAGATATGCTGGAGGATGAACGGAGCAAGATCGAGAACGAGATAGCTGAGCTACAGAATCAGAAGGAGCAGCTAGAGTTCATTCTGCAGGCTCACGAGCCCACCTGCAAGCGCGGTGGTGCCACCTTCGCCACGTCCGACATCCCGCTCATCGAGCCGAAGTTGAGCAGTTGTGGCGGGCTGTCGCGCCCTACGACTCTCAACGTCACGTCGGTGCTGACGACGTCCGTCAAGCAGAACGGTGGCGCCCTCGTGAGCCTGCCCATGTTGACGCCGAGCAATGTCTACACGACGCCCTCTGGCGGTACGCTGTTCAACTTTGCCGACAGCGACTTCGGCGATCACTCTGGGCTGACGCCGCTGATACAGCCAAAGTCGTGCGCGGACGAAGCGAACAGAGGTTCCAGCAGTGACATGTCGAGTCCTGAGACAATCAAATCACCGACGTTAGTGTCACTGTAAGCATTCTCGCCACTTGCGGTGGCCCTCTGACCCACGCTTGACCTATCGCAGCCCGTCGAGAGACAAGGACCCACATCCTGTGCGCTTGGTTCGCTGCACTGCTGCAAAATGTCACTGACAGACTATTAAGTATTAACGAGGGGTGTTCTCCCCGAGGAGAGTGAGTTGAGATGCTACACTGCCCTCGCCCACGTAACACTTGTTCACGTTTAACGGTCGGTTTGCTCGCAGAATGTCTGTTTGCGCGGTGTGACCACAAACCGTAGGTAACGCGAGGAATGTGTGTTGAGAGCACGCTTTTATGTGTGTGCGTACTAGTCGGAAAGCATTAGATCTCCCATCCAGGTGTTATATTTATGCATGTCCCTATCATCACGACCTATGCAAATCCACAGACTAGCTGAATAAGCAGAAGTTATATTTTGAGTACATATACGTTGTGTGAACAAGTTTGTAGTTGCCATGCTACCGCCTATCCGTTTCAGGGTCTATGTGTCAGCGATGGTGAACATACGTCCACTTACTAGTTTAACGGTCACGGTGTTGTGCTCCAGTCTGCTTAACCTTGACCGACATTTTAGGCTGGTTTACTCCGTATTTGTAATCTTTAATTAGCGTGACGGGAAGTTGCATAATCGTTATTATTATTAAGTAGTAACACGAATGTATGTATATATACATATGTTTGTGGTAGTCGTTTAAATGTGGCTGTGTACGTGCTTGTAGTGTGGCTGTTGTGATATGTACTTGTGCCTATTTTGTTGCTACGACGATTCGGTGCTTACAGCAAGATGATTTTGATTAATTAATCAACGCAAAGTCGTCTATAAATCCTAGTCATTGGTGAGATATCATGTAAGATCCTCCTTTTGCAGGAAAAACGGATCCTTTTTTGAAAAAAAAGATATCACTGCCTAGTATATGTATACACACTAATTTCAATCGTTTTGCTTATGCAATACAAATCGAAAGTCGTACCTGATTGTATTATCTACATCGATATCGTTGTGATAAGTTATTTAGCGCTTCCATGTAATTAATTAGTCATGAGAAATATTTTCATATATAAATGTATAATATATTGAATGCGCGTTTGTTTTACCGTCACCAGGCGTACGTATACACATTCATAATTCGTGCATCATCAGATGTTCAAGGTTTTGCTCCGTCTGCGCCAAACATATTCCGTCGGCAACGTCGCAGCCTCTCGCTGTATCGACGGTACCTCGATTTGGCACAAGTCGTGTCTTAGACTGGTAGCCATATGAAGGCCGGCATGTGTAGTCGGTGGTAGGCTGGTCGCTTAGGGTGCGTAAACAAAATTCTAGACACACGCACGCACGCATGCATGCACGCAAGCACGCGCGCACACACAGTGTCTTTGTGAAACCGGTTTGCAAAGCTTTTATAGAGCAAGGTGCAAGAAAACTATTTTGCTATTGTGTTTTGTAAGTAAAGTGTGACAAAATGCCTTTAATAACAGGCGTTTATACATCGCGCCAGTCACACGGTTGCTGAACTGCATTCTTTAACCGAACGTACCTTTTATATCACGTGCTCAGTACTGTTTGTTATTGCGTGCGGATGAGCCATTTTTTCAAAATAGCTCTGCATATTTTCCTATAATTACCTAATGGGCTTGTATTTGCTTGCCTACCAATCGCCTAATTATTGTTGCTGGTGTGTAATGAAACGAAGAGTGAGCTCTTTTCGATTTTAGAAGTGAATTGTATTTTATATAAAATATGGGTTTCCACTTTTCTACCAGCCAATTTTGATAGAGCCAGACGGTAACACTGGCATTCACTCAGTACACGCTCACTATGGAATGATCGTGATTCACATGACATTTGGGTGCGTTGTTAGACACTGTTACTGTTGACAGTAACAATGAAGTAAAATGCCGCTTAAAAGTATATTTTTGGTATGTTTGGAAACTTTTGTACTCGAGTTTTTATTTTATTTTATGCAAATATTCTACAGTTCAACAATATACACAATATAATATTAAATGATGCAGACTGCAAAAGTGCGGGTCTAATATGCGGTTTAACAGAAAGGCCTGTGTTCCTATTACTGAAGTAATCTGAAGCTCGCTGAATTTGTGAAGCAATTCTCTGTTTTGACTGCTTTGCAACGATGAAATTTTGTTGAATTTCGCATGTTAATTGAGTTCTATTTTGATTTGGTTGCGCAGATGTAACGTATGTGTAGTGAATGACAGGCTATATAATATGCCTATATGTATAATTATAAGCAATATTACAGTTATGTGGCTGAGTTTTGAAATTGTTCTCAGACTAGTAAAGGTTATATATACGGATTTCATTTTATGTAGTAAAATGATTGATTGGATTATATAACAGGAAATTTCAAAAAGACAAATTGTCATACCTGGTTAATAGATCACATGACAGTTTATGTTTATTTGCGCTCATTTGAAAATAAAACCTGTTCATTTTATATATCTCATTCAAGTGTAGATTATTTTATTTGCTGTTTAACGAGGACGGATGTTGAGGAGAAAGAGCGTGGGTGGACAGAGAACGTACAGAGCACGCACACACGAACGCGCGCACACACACTATATAGTCCCCACCTCTACCCCTCCCTCCTTTATCTCTTTCCGCACACTCTCCTGCTCTTCCACTTTTACTTCTTCGTTCTCTTGCGCATAGACCCTCTTTCTCTTCCACTCTAGTTTTTATTTTCTTTCTCTGTTTTTCTCGCAATCAGTCTCCCTCTTCCCTAGCTCCTGTAACCGAACGATAATATATTGCAAATATGTTTACATTTTTATTATTGCGTAAAGTATTATAATAATTTTGCTTTATATACTTAATCAGTATATATTATTATTATGGCGCTGGATATAACGTATTAAATAACAATTATTAGTTCTTTATAAAATTATTTAGACAGGCAAGAAAGAGTTTGAATGGCTACAAAATTTTTCGCGTAATTGAAAATGTGAATGAATTGTAGTTAATGTGATAATTTTGCTAGATTCGTATGAACAATTATTTGATATTTTTGAATATATTTAAAATAAATTTTGATTAAAAAACTGACAGGTTCTTTTATTGTCTTGACTTATTTTTCGTTATATAATAGCTAAATTACTTTGCCATGCAGTGTGTTATTACACATTTACACGTTTTCATAGTACAGCTATATATCTACCCCAGCAAACTGGAAAAGAAAGATAAAGTATATTGATACAAATAAACTGTGGTATAACAACAAATATGAATAATTATTTGGGAAATGCCTATGTATTTTCTGGGAACTACATGGGGAATGGTGCGTTTATTGTTCTTAGCGTGTTATGTGTTCATGCGCAATAAAAGGGGGCGTTTGCCATAGTATATACCATGCTATCAGGGGTGAATAATGACAAATTACATCAAAACAACTAAAAAATAATAATATTAATAATAATAATAATAATTAATAATGACATTATTCACCCCTGATGCTATCAAGAATCTGTTTATCATGCATGTTCATCATCTGTGACACGTGACCGGACACAATTCAAGAACTACAGCTTCATTACCCGCGATGACACGCGTCGTCCGCCGTAAAATCGGAGGACGTGTAGTCGATGCGATATGTTTTGTAGTTTCATTCGCTTTAGGCTTTCTCGTGTGTGCGTGTGTGTGTGTGTGTGTGTGTGCGCGCGCGCGTTTGTGTGTGTGTGTGTGTGTGTGTGTGTGTGTGTGTGTGTGTGTGTGTGTGTGTGTGTGTGTGTGTGTGTGTGTGTGTGTGTGTGTGTGTGTGTGTGTGTG